TCTACTAACATGATTTCTCCATCTCAATGGGGTAGCCTGGCCTGATCACATGGATATATGGGGCTCTAGGAGCATCAATACAAGCACCCACCCCAGACCTCTTTATCCCTGAGCTGAAATTGGAAATCGGCACAGAGTTACTTCCACCATATTCAGTCAGCCAAGGAAGGTCATAAAGTCAGTCAACATGCATGGGAAACATCACTGAAAAAAATCACATTACAAAGTTAAGGGCACAAGAAGCAGTAAAGAATTGAGGCCATTTTAATAATCAATCTATTCAATTGTGTTTGGGGCAGTAAATCCAGCCTCTTCTTTCATTTTAACCACTCATTTGCAGGTAGCTTTGGGCATATTTATTGCTTCTTCTTACAAAAGAGATAAAGCATACTTGACCTTCAATCAGATTTCTTAGTTGAAATTAGATTTAAAACTTTAAGGTACTTGTTTTAAAAAAAATGCCAAGGCTAACTACAAAAAGTGTGCCATACTTAATAGCAGCAAATATCTTATGATCCAAGGGATAAATAAAGCAGAGTTTGAACTACTACATATTGGAGAGATCGGAGATTTAAGAGAATGAAAGCCCTGTTTATGTAATATCTTCCTTGGAATAAAATTAGAATGCAGAAAATTCTTGCATATCCAGTGTGATTCACCTATCCTAATCCATTCAATTTATTGTAGCCCTGCATAAGACACAAGGGATACAAGAATGCCTAAGACATTATCCATTTCCTCTAAGATAAGGTTGAGATGAGACTATAAAGAGAGAATCAACATCCTAGAATCCAAAGCATGAGAGGATTTCAAGGAAGGATGGACTGTCAGCAGCAACAAAGGCATTTGAAGAGACCATGAGAGTTACAATGAAAAGGGCACATGATTTTGGCAGAGCTCATTCATTCTTTAAACAACCCAAATGACCCAAAATAGATGACTGGATCAAGAAGATGTGGTACATATACACCATGGAACATTACTCAGCATTCAGAAAAGATAAACACATGCAATTTGCAGCAACATGGATGGCGCTGGAAGGGATCATGCTCAGTGAAACAAGTCAGAAAGAAAAAGAAAAATACCGGATGGTCTCACTCATAGCAGGAATCTAGAAAACTTAAATAAGGGACCAGGAAAACGAATAACTATAAATAAGAAAATATCAAAATCAACAAACAACTATGAACCAGAGACACTCTATGGGGGGTGGGGGGCGGGGAAAAGAGGGATTGGGGTCAAAATAAGGGGGTTATAATTGTATGGGGAATATAAAAATAAAATTTAAATTAAAAAAAAGTTAGTTGAGAAGTTGCAATATGCTGAACCCTCTGTTGAATGCCAGAACACAGAATTAATAAGGCTCCTTGATCTCAAAGAACAGACCCGTGGGAAAAAATAGACCTCAAAAAATAACGGTGCAGTGTGCAAAAAAAATGTTTTGATGGAGATTATTGGTCTCCTTCTAATGTATGCTTTCAGTGGAAAGAGACAGCACCAGCAAGATAGCTGCAGGTTGGACAATGAGTGAAAGTTAAAGACTAATAACAGTAATCGAAGAGAAAAAAAAATCAAGAAACAGCTTGAGAGAAAGGTTCGATTCTGCACAATTTTTGGATTGTTTTGTCTATTTTTTTTTTTTTTTGCATGGAGACCACTAAAGGATGTAGGAAGGTTGACAACAGAAGCCAGTGGAAAAAAGGAGCTTGAACTGGGAGAGGGTCTGACAATAGCATCGTTTGCTAAAAGGAAACTGGACCAAGCACAAGAAAGGATTTATTTTGGAGTATGGAGCCCTTCTTCCTCTGAGCACAGAAGGAAGCAGGAAATCTGGATGAGTTTTTTAACCAAATATCTGAACACAGAGCAGTTTGTGTCTCTTGGGGTCAAAAAGAGGCAATCTAGGGAAATTTACTGAGGGTTCAAAAATATTGGCATATCCAGATATTTCTCGGGGAAAACAAGACAGAATGATTGAAATTGGGAGTTTCCAGGAAATCTATGAATAGTTTGCTCAGATATCTTATTTGGAGATGGATGTGCAGGGAGTTGACAGCAATGGTTGCAGGTCTCCATTTTCTTGGTGGGGTTAGAATCAGATCACCTACTTAGGGCAGCTAGGTGGCATGAAGCACAGGACTTGAAGGAGGGAGGCAGACAATGACTAACAACAAAGATGGGAAAGAGTGCCAACCAAGAGTCATCTCCCAAATTATTGGGAACTACTGCAGAGGGATTTTTATATTATGGGAAAGACGCTGTAGAGGTCGTGCTGGTTTATAGGAGGCCTAATTAGAAAAGTTAATCAGATGCAAAATTATCCCAATGAATTCCATGCATTCCAAAGCTAAAGAGTTATGATTTGAGGATTGCCTGCTGTTTTGGATCTTGCATGCTGCCAACTCTCCTCTATTACTGCAGATAATTGTCAGTTCCATAGAGTGTCTATATATAAATGTGCAGGGCGCGTCACACTTTTCCTGGGTGCCACTTGTCTCCAGGCCAGCTTGTTGCCTTTAAAAGAGTGATGCTTGTAGCTGTGCCTGGAAGAAAGACAGCAAAGCCAGCTATGAAGGCTCCCAAGGCCCCAGCGTGTGTGAGTGATATGTGTACCATCCTAATTCCTGAAAATATATACTCTCCATCCCCCAAATGTCAGCTCCAATGCTTCTCATTATAATTAACTTTCTTATTTGCTGGGAGCACAAATGGTTGAAGGAAATAGTTGACACTTTTATATTTTTCTTTCTTAACAGTAAAATTTAAAATAACTGTACTGAAAAAAAGAGAATTGCTGACTACTTTTAATCATAATCTTGATGCAGAAAAAAATCCCAGCACAGGTTTCAGACAGTCCTAGACTAGAAAATAAGCTCTGTTATTGGGGGGTCTATTAGGTCCCCTGGGTCTCTGTTGTGTTCTCTGTATTTTGGCCCAACTATATGTCCATAAATATGTGTATAGTGTAGACAGACAATAAAAATATAGCGATTGGTAAAGATGGGGCAGATGATGATGAAGAAGAAAGATAGATAAATAGATAGATAGATAGACAGATAGATAGATAGATAGATAGATAGGCAGACAGAAGCGAGAGTGCAAAGAAGAAACATGTACATACTATTCAAAGCATACAAGTTAAGGATATAGGCTCTGGAGTTAGACTGCCTAAATTAAATCCAAGATATTCAATTACTAGCTCTGGGAACTTGGGCAAGGTTTTCCTCATAGGATGGTTGTGAGGATTAAACTCTATAATCCTGTAAGATCCCTAGCACATACCCATATTAATAAACAATAGTTACTGCATGCCTACTCTGTGTCAGCTCCCAAGCTAAGCAATTTGTATACATTAAAGTACTTAACTCTCCTGACATCACCATAAGGATACTGTCCCCATTTACAAATGAAAGAATAGGAATCCAGGCCACCATGTATGTCCAGGAGGTCTATGTATCACCCAAACCTGTAGCTGTCATCTATAAGGACTAGATGAGGCCAAGACTTTAGGGAAATTAAATAACTTGCCCAAGGTTATAAGGAAAGCAGAGTAAATCAACGACTTAAATCCAAGTATAGTCGACATCTAAATATGTTCTTTTAACCTTTAAACATATTCTACCAGAAGTATCATATTAGCAAAATCAGACCAGTTGAAAAATCAGTTTAGTATTCAGATGGCTAGAGATTGAAAAGAAAAAGAAAACTGTTGAAAAGATTATCTTGGTTGGTTCCATTTTTTCCTCTGACCCTCAGTTTTGAGTACTGCACAAATTCCATTAGCAAGGTACAAGTCACTGTTCAGTGGATTTAAAATCCTTTTGCATTTGAACTCTGGTTATTCCCTACTCTGCATTAACTGGATATGATTTGTCCTTTGCTAATCCACCTGCAAACGTCTCTTATTTCCTATCCAGTAGCTACTGGCCACTTTTGCCTCTGTGTCCCATTAGTGTTTTGCTGAGGGAGCAAAAGTCAATTATATCCTAGTCCCATTAAGCAAACTTAATGGGGAAATCAAGTCAATGTCCTCTTCTCTTCTTCCCTGCCAAATTCTGCAGCTGAAGACCCGCCTCAGCTTAGTCAGGAGAGTGGAGACACCCATCAGCATTGAGGCAACACTCTGGAATAGACACCACGGCACCAGCATGCAGATTCCAGCTGCCAACACTTGTCAGCATCTCATATGAGCTTCTCTTCCATTAGTGACCTCGCTCCACTTCCCCGTCCTTCTTAGGGTGATCCCCAGTTCAGGCCAAATCCAAGGTTTAAGAACATCTAAAGTTGAGGAGCCCCCTGTCCATGGTTCTAGAAAAAATATTCTTTGGAAGCTTCCTTCTTTTAATTACACTGTCTCCCGCTCAATCTCTGACTTGCTTTACTAGAACTCCTTCTATTTTGTTGAAAATGGCTGCATTTCATCTCTCCTGATGACTGAATAGTATTCCATAGTGTGGATATACCACATTCTTGTTTCCTGTGACTTTGATTCATCTTTATTTCTCCACACAGATCTTGGTCAGAGTTAGTCATAAGTACATAAATTCATAGAATAGATTAATCTTGTAAGTTAGGAAAAAAGGAATTTCTTTATGTCATTTCCACCAACTCTCCCATTCTGCCCTACTCCAGGCTAGAAATAGTCTCTTTATTCTCAGAATGCCATTTTCTTTTATTCAAAACTCTCTTACGGTCTTTATCATTTTCACCCCTCATTATAGTCATCCATCTGCCACATCTACCTACCCAACCAGATTGTTGCTTCTCGGTGACTGGGATTTGGATTCATCTTTTTTCCTCCACACTGACCCTGATCAGAGTTAGCCATAAATAGATAAACCCATAGGATGAATTAACCTTTGTAAGTTAGGAAAGAAAGGTGCTAGTAAGATCATGGAAAGATAAACCCAAAAAGAGGACAATTAGCTATTACTGCCTAACAACCCACACCCCAGATTTACTAACAATACAGCATCCATTTTTAATGCTCACAAATTTACCAGTGTGATGGGTGGTTCTGCAGATCTGGGCCAGGAAGAGCCTGGGTCATTTGGCCTCACTCATGTCTGTGGTCATCCTTAAGGTGACTGAGGACTGATTGAGTGGGAATGGTTGTCATCTGGGATCATGAGGACTCCTGGACTGTCTCTCATCATCCAGTATGTTAACTTGACCTTGTACTCAAGGTAACAAGACAGGTTTCCAAGACAGCAAACAAAAACATGGACGTTCTCTTGAGGTCTAAACTCAGAAATGAAACAACATCACTTCTATAGTCTACTGGTCAAAGTGAGTCCCAAAACGAATGCAAATTCCACACATAAATACATAGAGATAGCAGGAGCTGAGACGTTGCACCACTAAGTGCATCAGAAAGGGGAATGGTGGGGAACCAGGAGCATTTTGCCATCAGTCTACCAAGGAAAGTTCTCAGACACAAGTTTGGCCAGGGAACAAATAATCTGCTTACCAGCAGTGATAGTAATGTATGCTGCTGCTGGTGGTGATAGAAATGAACTTATCACAAGTATTCATTCAATACATCTATGCTCTAGATGCTGTTTTGGTCCCCATTTTACAGATATGAAAATTTAAACTTCAAGTAGGAAGATATCTATTCAAGGCTATCCAGCTACTACGATATAGTAGCAAAACTAGAAACGCACTTACAGGGTCACTACATGGAATACGGGACAGCTGGATTGGGCCCCAGCTGCAGGGGAACATTGCCAGAGGCTTCCCGACTTGACTGGAAGCTGCAGGGGGGCTTCTTTTCACGTAGGACTCAATTTCCTATCGCATCTTCTTTCTCTCTCATCCCTCTTGATTATCCCTTGTCTTCTTAAGTCTATTTTTCAGATTTAGTTCACAATGTTTTATAATAAAAGACTTGTCTCTATTGCTTTATAAAGACACAGAGAGGATTAGCAGGTAATTTAATGTTTGCAAAATGCCCTCAGCACCGAGGAATTAAATATGTTGATGCAAATAAATAAACAAAGGCTTTGGAGTATAGAGACATTGGTCTTCTCTGAATGACATGCTCAGGGTGTCTAAATGCACGCATGAACATAACCAGCTAAAAATCTGATTCCACTAGACAGGGACCAGGCAACCCTGAATTTGCTCTTTCACATGTGGTATCAGAAGTAAGACATGCAAGCCAGCATCCTATCACCTGCCACCTTTGCTGTCTATGTGGAGATGAAAATCAATAAAAGTATCTTCCTGATTGTTTGATAACCTAGGTGCATGTGCACATAAATATGCACGTGCGCATACGCGTACACGTGTGCATGCGCACACACACACACCAACGCCCATCCATTCCATTCTTTCCATCACCTGTTCCCTGCTCAACCCTCCCCCTCAAGCTCCACCCATTGGTGGGTGACTGAGCAACGAGGGGAGGAGATGCTGCTTTAACACAGACGGCCAGGGAGAAAGACAAGACTGAAGCTCATGTACAGACCATCTATAGTTTGTGCAAGTCTTAATACTGAGAGCCAGTTTATTGGCCTAACCCTCTCTGGCCTCTGCAAGTGGACCTCTGCCCACACTCCCCACTCTCAGCTTCTCGAATCTCAGCTAAATACCCCCTGAGAACTCAGTGTTCATGGAAACCTGGGGTTCAGGGAACTCATAATTGAGCTGAAATCACATGTGGATGTAATATAGCTTTGTAAGTTGCCCCGAAGACATTTAAAATATTTTCTATTTGGAAAATTCATTTCAGGTCCTAAAGAACCCTAAAGAACTGATATATTTATGCACACAACAGCTGGGGTACAGGCCAGAGATGCAGGTGGTGAGAGGATTCACCAGAGACAAAGCGGGGAACAGACAGGCAGATTGACCAAAGTACACTACTGAGGGCAGCAGCGGGCGAGCCAGGAGAGGTCTGCTGCGCCATGTGGGTCGCTCCCTGTCCGGGGATTGAACTCGTGCCGCAGAGGAGGCCACAAGGGAGGCCCTTCCTGGTGCTTTAAGAGACTCATTTTGTAAAGCAGCTTTAGGTTTACAGAAAAATTAAGAAGAAAGGACAGAGATCTGACCTGGCACGTATGTAGCCTCTCTCACTATCAGCATCACTCAACAAAATGGTGCATTTGTTACACTTTCCAAACCTTCATTGATAAATTATCACCCATATTACCCAAGGCCCATAGTTCATATTTTGGTTCACTCTTGGAATTGTACATTCTGTGGCTCTGGAAAGTTTCTAATGATGTATATTGACTGTTATAGTATTATGTGGTATTAAAATTTTTGCTGCCCTAAATCATGGTGCATTGTGATGGATGATTTTGCCTTCAAGGATGTTCTTGATCTTTAATTTGACCAGATGAGAATGGGAAAGAGCACATCACATAGGCAGTCCTACCCTCCAAAAGAGGGGTGGAAGATGGACAAAAAAACCATGGTTGGGTTTTTTGTTCTGCATTATCTCATTTAACCCCCAGCCCCTTCACAGGACAACATGATTACCTGCATTTTATTTATGAAGACAATGAGGGTAAATGTCTTGCTCTAAGTCATCCACACCACTCTTCAATCAACTGTAAACTCCTTGAGGAGAGGGAAGTATCTTATTCATCTTTATATCTCTCAGTATCTAGCACAGAAACAGGCAGGAAATCGGCATTCAATACATTCTTACTGAAGGAAAACTTTCAAAAATAGCAGAGGTAGAGTTAAAATCCATTCCAGCCAGACTCTAACACATGTCACATTCCTCCACAGACAACCCCTTTGTGTATTATGATCACACGTGTCCAAATGAAAATCTAGTAAGCTATTTGCTCCTGTCTTCCTTCCTGAAAATGAGCAATCACTGGGATCCATCTCCTTTGGCAGTACAAGGGATTTTTCCTACTATTATTCTTGTGTTTTTATTGCCTTTCTTCCTTCCAGAGATGTACCTGAGCTAGAGGAAATCTATTCATGTCTCTAATGGAAAAGACATTTGAGTAAGGCCCTTGAATTCTTGGTAAACTATCCATTTAAGTTTGAAAACTTGGTACAGATGGGAGATTCTCCTCAAGTTAAGGCTTTGGACCCAGCCTTATAGACCTCAACGTGAGGAGTACTCATCCCATGTTTTCACCCCTCTCTTCCTTATTCTCTAGCTCCCATCACAATGATGCCCTTGCTGTTCCTTGGACAAATACACACCTCTCCTAGCACAGGCCTTTGCACCTGATGCTCCCTTGCCTGGATCTTTCTTCCTGGAGAAACCACATTTCTCTCTCCCTTTCTTCGCTTGGGTCATTGTTTAATGGTCATCTGATCAAGAAGTTGTTCCTGACCTTACTATCTCAAATAGCCCTCCTCTACCCCATCATTATTGCACCCTTAATGCAATTGTTTCTTTCACAATCCACCTGACATATTGCAGATGGATTTCTTTATTATCTTTCTCCCACTAGAATCTAAGTTCTTTGCTCACAGTTCTAACTTCAGTGCCTATAACAGCACCTAGAATTAGTGGGAACTCAATATTTTCTGAATCAATGAATGAAAACTCAAGTCATGAATGTCAAATGCATGCATGGAGGGTAAGTGAAAAAGTATCGGGCTTTTCCATCCTCCCACCATTAGCATTAATGATGGATCCCTGTGATCCTATATGCCTGCCTGATGGCGGACACCTGGAGTAGGGTGTGGGCATGCATAGGTGGGCACACCTCGAGTAAGACTGGGCTTATAAGGGTGGTGTCATGGGGAACCAACAGAAGGAGAACAGAACCAAAAGAGAAAGAGTAACAGAACCAAAAGAGAAAGAGTAGCAGAACGAGAGAGCAGACAGAACGCCAGAGACCCCAGAAAGAGTCAAGATTCGCTGGGGGTTGGGAGGCCTACCAGCCTCCCGGCCCCTCCCCGCCCCAGCACCCCTGCCTACCATGTACCTGTTAAAACCTCTATAAAAGCCTGAAAAAAGCCACTGAGGGCTCCAGGACTCTCCTTTACCAGTCTGCCCAGATCACAGAGATCCTGTACTGGGCCTTCCTGCTGTCCCTACAATGTACCTCCACTCCCCTCTCCTGTGTCCAGTTCAGAGCTCACTAACCAAGCAGTTAACTTTTCCTGCAAAACTAAAAAAAATCTCAGAATCCTTCTTATACAGAACTCCAGGCAGCAACAACCAACCTATGGAAGTCAGCACAGGCAAGGAGGTATCTGTGCCTTTTGGGGATAATGTGGTTCTTCTACCCTGGCGAAATGGCCTGGGCCTCCCCTCAGGCAGAAAACCCTCCTTTGTCCCATCTAGCCTAAGGCTGAGACTAGACCCCAGGCAAGTGGCCAATTCTTTTGTGTCTTTATACCCAATGGGACCACAGCCAGATCCTCTCACTTACCTCTGAGGTGATCTGGAGCTGGTTCCTGCAGGCTCATGAGAGCAAATTGTGGTTTCTCTTCTCAAAGCTGCCTTCAGCAGCTCCATTCACCAGCTTGGAATCAGCCCTGGTGGGAACATTTAGACTACAGAGATCAGCAGGGCTAAAATCACAGTTTGTTTTTCTTTTTGTTTGAGAGCCAGCGGTTAATCCTCTTCCTTACTGTTTAAGTTTGCAAAACTGGGGCAAATGTGTGAAACAAGTCCAAGGGGTGGGGGGGGGGTGCCACTTTCACTTTCCTTCCCTGGAAAGGTGGGAGGTGGGAGCGGACAAAGGGACTAGGCTGGTTTCTGTTTGGCCTTATACGGTGGTCAGAGGAACAGGGAGCCGGTCTGGGTCTCTGTGAGAGCAGCAGCTGGCCACAGGGAGGAAAGACGCTCTCACCTTGTAGGGTAAGTGATTATCAGGCTTTTTTGCCCTCCTGCCATTAGAATTAATGATGTATCCCTGCGGTCCTGGACGCATGCCTGATGCTGGGCACCTGGAGTGGGGTGTGGGCATACATAGGTGGACACACCTGGGCTGAGACTGGGCAATAAGGGTGGTGTCATGGGGAAGGCATCAGGGAAAAGAAACAGAAACAGAACAAGACCAGAGAGAGCAAGAGTACCAGTGGTGGAAGAAACGAGCAGAAGAGAGAGAACAGAGAAGAGAGAAGAGCAGCAGAACCAGCAGAGCAGCAAGGGAGAAGCAGGGACCATGAGAACACCAGAGAGCCCAGAAAGAGTGAAGATTCACCGGTGGGGGCTGGAAGGCCTGCCAGCCTCCCGGCCTCCCCCGACCTTGCTTGCCCTGTACCTGGTAAAAAGGCCAATAAAATCCTGAAAAAGCCACCGAGGGCTCTAGGACACCCCTTTACCCGAATGCTCGGATCATAGAGATCCTGCTCTGGGCCTTCCTGCCCCTACACACCTCCTGTCTCTTCCTCCAAAGACTCCCCTCCTCCACCCCACCACCCCCAGAAGCAAGTCAGGAGTCCCTCCTTCCAGCTGGAGAAGTGAGGTTTGAGTGGGGGAAGGGACTTGGAGGGACTCTGACGTGCAGTGTTTGCCCAAGTGTGATTTTTACACAACCGGCCTCAGAATTGCCCAAGACACTTGTTAAAACTTTTGTTCTCGAGGCGCCACCGCACACAGGGTAATCAAACTAGGAAAATGGGATTTAGAAAAATGCATTTCGATAAGCACAACTAAATGCCTCTTATGAGCACAAGTGGTTATTAGGTTTGCTAAAACAAATCATTCACTTAGAAAGGTCATTTAAAACGCAGGTCTCCAGGGTCTGTCACAGGTCCCAAAATCTACAGTTTGATATAGTTTTCTAGGTGACTTTTAATATTAGTCCAAGTGAGGCTTTGCAACAAACACAGATTGTCTTCTCTGTCCCCCCACAAGATGAGTTTTGAAGTCCTTCCTTCTTTGCAAGAAAGTTGGGGTGCTTTCATTGACAGGCATTACTAAATATCTCATTAAATCCACAAAACCAGCCCATGGAATGGAAACGATTATGCAGAGGTAGAGGCTGTTATGATTCCCACATTACAGAGGAGGAAACAGAGGCGTGGAGTAGCAAAGCTGGAACTGGCACCTACAGCAGCAACCTGTGCCCTTAAGTCGTTCAGCTGCCTCCTGAAGACTTTCAGGAATAAAAAGATAATAACTCAATATAAAAACCTCACTGGCTGAGCAAAAGGATTTTTTTCAAAAACGAATCTTGAACATTTCTCCAAAATGTCACATTCCACATTCCCCTCTATTGAAGTCTGAACTGGTTAAAATACATTTATACAGGTGGAAAGCAATCAGAATAATTGGTTTGCGTAGAGCAAAGTAACCAATAAATTACCTTAAACATGACCTTTCGGCACCGGCTTCTATTCTGTTCCTATTCTCTGGCCCTGAATTGTCGCTCTTTAATTGGTAGTTTGTTCTCTCGTCGGGCTGCCTGTTTCTGACACTGGGTAATGCATTATGAGATAATCTACTTTCTGTGACTTCACACAGTTCCCATGGCAACCGTCAATGCCACATCCCTGCAGAAACGGCTGCTTCGTTTGTTCCAAATGTGTTGCAGAAATGTAAACATCTTCGATAAAAATGTCCAGTAAAATGACAGTCCAAGCAGAGAATGACATTTATATAATCGCCAAAGGGAAACAATCTATAATTATCCCAACTTCTTTCCCCAGATTAAAAAATGGAGGTGTAAGAATTTTGGTTTGGTTTGAACTTTTTGGTTTGGAGAAAAATAAATAAGGGAAAGGTTTGCTTAACAAGATTTCATTGAAGAGACAGAGCACTCCTGTGAAATGATGTTCATTAAATCCTTACTTTATTGGAGCCCAGGTGACAACATTTCTGGAAGAAACAACCATCTTCGTCAGCCCACAAGCCCAGCTACCACAAACACAAGGCAAGAGCTGACCCGGAACATCCCCTCAGGTGACCTGGACACCCTGACATTCGAAACTAATAACCTAAGATCCTCTTGGTTGATGGAGAGAGTGCTTTACTTTTAATTCTTGCTGGCTAACCCTCTGTCCCCTCATAGTGAGCTCCTGAGGACATTTCTTCAATCAAAACCTCAGGAGGCCACATTAAAGTAAAGGAAGTCAGCATCTGGGTTTTGTGGGGTTTTTTTAAAGCTTTACTGAAGAATAATTGATAGATGAAAACCTGCACATATTGAATAAATGCAAATTGATGAGTTTGGATATAACATCTGGATCTCTATTGCCTCTCTTCAATGCCCTCTCTTTCTTGCAGGGACTGTTATTCTGTCTTGCATTCTTTCCCCACCACTAGGTCAGCCCTTTCCATTTGTCCTTTGGAATTAAGTTCAAGTGTCATCCACTGTAGCTACCTGCAGTAAGCAGAATTATAAGATGGTTCAAGATCCCTGCCTCTGGTGTTCACTGCTAGCATCATCTCCTCCCACTGAGTGTGGGTGGTGGTGAAGGAGCATCAGAGGCTGCTGAACACTGGGGGTCCCCCTGGGGTGCCCTCTCTGACACTGTGCCCCCAGTGTTGTGACCCAGACTCTGGATGCATCCATAGATTTGACACTGTTAAGAAAAGAATCAATGAACTTGAAGATAAGTCAGTAGAAACAATGCAAAATGAAGTATGAAGAAGGGAAAATAAGAATGGAAAAAAAGTAACAGAACAGAGCCTCTAAGGACTGTGGGGCATCATCCAAAGCATGGCATACACTTGATTGAAAACCTATAAGAAGAAAGAGAGTATGGCAAAAGAAATACTTAACATATTTCAAATAAAAATTCAATTTCCAGGGGCGGAGCAACATGGCGGCTAGGAGACGCTGCGAGTAAGATCTCCCATTAAAAAAAGTGAATAGGGAGGAAAAGCGGCAGGTCCCAGTGAGAAGTGGGACACGGAAGATAAACTGGTGACGCCAGCGAACTGCCCGAAGAAGAAAGTGGCCATAAAAGAGGACTAGAAGGGAGGGAAGCTCAGAACCCTGCTCCCCTCCCCCGCCCACAGAGGCGGCACTCTCCGACCGGCAGAGAGGAGGAAACAACAAACCAAAACGGCCCACAAGAACAAACGACGCAGCAAGCGGGACTGTGAGTGGAAAGGAACTATTGCAGCCACCACACCCCGTGAACGGGAGCTGAGGCGAACCCTGCAGGATCCGCCGCGGCGGTGAGCGAACGGCTCCGGGCGCCATTAGAGAAGAACAAAGACCCCGGGAGACCCGCACACAGCCCGGGCTGCCGGTAAGCTGGCGCGGAAACGCGGCGCGCTCGGGGAGCTTGAAAAGCAAATGCAGACCTGGATCGCGGCTGCCCAGGTCCCCGCGCCTGCGACCTAGGCTTGCGGGGAGACGACCTAGGCTTGCGGGGAGACGCACGGAGGTCCTCACTGAGGTGAAGGTCCCTCCCTGAGTGAGCAGGAACCAGGCGCCCAGGCACGGGAGCAGTGCAAAAGGCGCCATTCCCGCGCCACTGAACTGGGCTACAGCCCATGTCCTGGAACTGAGGGCTTTGAACTGAGACCCGGGGCACGAAAATTCGGGTCGTGGGTTCTCCACGACGGTGGGGCACAAGGCAGACACAGCACCCCAAAGCTGTTGAGGTGTACCCTACCATTCCCGCTCTGTTCTCTGTCCCACGGGGTGGGGGGAGGCGAAAAACAGCCCCCCAAGGACAATAGGAGAGATCTCTGGCGCCACCTAGCGACCAGGAAAAAAAGTCACTAACACCCCATAAAACAGGAAATTTCTTAAGACTGCTTGAAAAGGGCAGAAGGCTTCTGTAGGACCCAGTGGCCAGCCGGGAAGTTATTCCACGCCAGGCCCCTTCCGACCAGCAGTCTGAGCCCACAGAGGGAGCAGGCACCCACGTCCGGGGCAGACCGGGTGCGCAGAAGAGTGTGCCTGAAACCGGAGGCGCAGGGACTGCATCCCGCTTCGCCATTTGAGAACAGGGACATTTCTTCAGTAAAAACTGCCTAAAACCAGCAGAAAGCTCCCCCAGAAGACAGAGATGGCTCCTGGAAGAGCCAGAGGGGAGCGGAGAAGTTCACCCAAGATGTCAGTCAGTCCGAGCAACACAGTGTCCCAACGCATACGACAAATTAGAAAACAGACAGTAGGGAGTAGAAGAACCACACGCAACCTAACAACTCCTCAGGAAAGAAGCACACCACAAAAAGAAAACCACTCCCCAGATTGCAACGACAGCAACTTGGAAGAACTTCTGAGCCTTCCAGAAAGAGAATTTAAAATTGCCATGATTAAAAAAGTGATAGATCAGAAGAAGGAAATTGAGTCCCTAAAGAGGGAAGTAAGAGAAATGCAGGAGATCAAAGAATTAATGGAGGAACTAAAGAACTCTGGGAAAAGCAATGAAAGCAGAATAGATGAAATGGAAGAACGAATAAGTAATCTTGAAGACACAGAAATAAAAAGAACCAAAACAGAAAAGGAAAGAGAAGTACGAAGGAAAAAGAATGAAGAAAGACTTCGGGAACTATCTGACTCCATGAGGAAAGGAAATATAAGAGTTATAGGAATTCCAGAAGGAGAGGAGAGAGATGTAGGAACAGAGAAAATATTCATGGATATAATTGAAGAGAACTTCCCAAATGAGAAGAAGGAGCTGAAAATTGATATACAAGAAGCAAGAAGAACACCAAACTTCCACGACGAAAGGAAAAACACAGCAAGACACATAATAGTAAAGCTCCCAAGAATCCAGGACAAGGAAAAAATAATGAAGCTGACAAGAGGGAAGAAACAGATAACATTCAAAGGAAAACCAATCAGGCTGACATCAGACTTCTCTGAAGAAACACTACGGGCAAGGAGAGAGTGGAGGGACATAGTCAACAGACTCCAAGAAAACAGATGCCAACCAAGAATACTCTATCCCGCAAAGCTCTCTTTCCTCCATGAAGAAAGAATATGGACCTTCCCAGACAAAGAGAAACTCCGGAATTTCATTGCGACTAAACCCCCACTCCAAAAAATACTACAAGGAATCCTAAAGCCAGAACCTCAGAGGGACGAATAACAACGAAAGAAGACCAAAAAAAAAAAAAAGTTATTAAAAGAATAAATAAATAAAATCAAAGGAAAGACAAACATAATGGCAAATACAGATGCTAACATATCAATATTAACTCTAAATGTAAATGGACTAAACTCTTCAATAAAAAGACACAGAGTGGCAGCCTGGATTAAGAAACAAAACCCAACCTTTTGCTGTCTCCAGGAAACACATTTAGCTACAAAAGATAAAAATAGGCTCAAAGTCAAAGGATGGAAAACAATCCTACAAGCAAATGGGCCAAAAAAGAAAGCAGGAACAGCTATACTTATATCAGATAAAACAGACTTCAAACTCAAAAAAATAAAAAGAGACCCCAATGGTCACTACATTATGATTAAGGGGACAATACTTCAAGAAGAAATAACACTCATTAACATATACTCACCAAACAAAAGAGCACCAAAATATATCAGACAACTGTTGTCCTCTCTGAAAACAGACATCAGAGAAAACACATATGTAGTGGGAGACTTCAACACACCACTATCAACAATGGATAGATCAACAAGACAAAAAATAAGTAAAGAAACTAAAGCTCTAAATAAGGACCTAGAGCATTTGGGCTTAACAGACATCTATAGAACACTAAACCCAAAAAAAACGGAGTACACATTTTTCTCAAGCGCACACGGATCATTCTCCAGGATCGATCACATCCTGGGGCACAAGACAAACATCAACAGATACACCAAGATTGAAATCATACCAACCATCTTTTCTGACCACGAAGGCATCAAACTAGAAATAAATCATAAAAAGAAGGCAAGGAACTATCCTACCTCATGGAGATTAAAAGCCACACTACTGGAAGACCACTGGACTAACGAGGAGATCAAAGAAGAAATTAAAAAATTCTTTGAATTGAATGACAAGGAGGACACCAATATCCTAAATGTATGGGATGCAGCAAAAGCAGTAATAAGAGGAAAATATATAGCAATAGAAGCTCACATCAAAAAACAAGAAAGAACTCAAAGAAACAACCTAATCTCGAAGCTCAAAGATCTAGAAAAAGAACAACAAAAAAACCCCAGAACCAGTAGAAGAAAAGAAATAATAAAAACCAAAGCAGAAATAAATGAAATTGAAACTAAAAAAACAATCCAAAAGATCAATGAAACCAAGAGCTGGTTCTTTGAAAAAATAAATAAAATAGACAAACCCCTAGCCAGGCTCACAAAGGAAAAAAGGGAGAAAGCACAAATACACAGAATCATAAATGAAAGAGGAGAAATCACAACGGACACAGCAGAAATCAAAAGAATAATCAGTAACTACTATGAACAGTTATATGGAAACAAGTTCAACAATCTAGAGGAGATGGACAAATTCCTACAACTCTACAATCACCCAAAGCTAGATAAAGAAGAAATA